ATTTTCATGTAATGAAATTTGTATTGTCAATGGAATTTTCTATTTGAAATAAAATTCATGACCAGTAAATTGTTAAGTGTTGTAAACTGTTTTCCTCAGTTTTCTTAATGACTCGTAATTACAATTATTTGATGATAATTCAAAACATTACTCATTATCTTTTCTGGTTAGTAAAATGCTATAGTTATGTTTGTAAAAAATTTGATGTCAAACTAACATAAAACTGTGGTAAAAAATACTGCAAAATATTATTGTAAATTCTACGGCAAATGCTATTGTAGATTTAACATCATTTAACCAGAATAAAATTAACTGCATTTTTTTTAACTATACTTTTGATATAAAAATTACACCTACGCATGTAGATTTTACATCACTTTTTTTTCCGTGTTCATTATAATATTTTCATGTAATGAAATTTGTATTGTCAATGGAATTTTCTATTTTGAAATAAAATTCATGACCAGTAAATTGTTAAAGTGTTGTAAACTGTTTTCCTCAGTTTTCTTAATGACTCGTAATTACAATTATTTGATGATAATTCAAAACATTACTCATTATCTTTTCTGGTTAGTAAAATGCTATAGTTATGTTTGTAAAAAATTTGATGTCAAACTAACATAAAACTGTGGTAAAAAATACTGCAAAATATTATTGTAAATTCTACGGCAAATGCTATTGTAGATTTAACATCATTTAACCAGAATAAAATTAACTGCATTTTTTTTAACTATACTTTTGATATAAAAATTACACCTACGCATGTAGATTTTACATCACTTTTTTTTCCGTGTTGTTTAACAAAAATTACCTTTCGCATTTTTAATTTGTGTCTTTTATTTCAAAGACGGAGATAACTAGAGCATCATGAATATCAAGCATGTGCATTATTTTAAAGTCATACAAAACGATGATGCTCTCTCTTCTGGATGAATAAATTATAATAATATAGTTCATATTGAAATTTGAATGTATCTTTTCAAATAGAAATTGATATGTATTCATTCATAATTATGCATAACAGTTTTTCATCATCTACTTATCCATTGATTTAATGTTCAAAAAATGGTCTCAAATATGTCACTCAAACATTCTTTCACATTAATCATCAATGAACGAGCAAAGAGAGGAAATTCTTGAAATTCTTTAGGTGAAAATTCTCAAGAAAATTACTGTATTCACTAGCGCCTTGAGACATAGCCAGTACTCTATGAAAATTTGAAATTTTCAATATCATGTAGTATGAGTGACATTTTCTATCACTTCTTACGGATGACGACATTTACTCTGATAGTTTAAATGGGTTCGATAGATTCTAATAAAGACTCTGTTAAAAGATTGCTTACTATTACTTTTTGTCTTTTATCTGTAAAGAAGTTTACCATATAGATTGAAAACTGACCTTACTTAACTCTCCGTTAGTTGCGCTACAAAGAGCCTTCTTTGTTTTTCTAATTTTACACGGAAAAAAAAGTGATGTAAAATCTACATGCGTAGGTGTAATTTTTATATCAAAAGTATAGTTAAAAAAAATGCAGTTAATTTTATTCTGGTTAAATGATGTTAAATCTACAATAGCATTTGCCGTAGAATTTACAATAATATTTTGCAGTATTTTTTACCACAGTTTTATGTTAGTTTGACATCAAATTTTTTACAAACATAACTATAGCATTTTACTAACCAGAAAAGATAATGAGTAATGTTTTGAATTATCATCAAATAATTGTAATTACGAGTCATTAAGAAAACTGAGGAAAACAGTTTACAACACTTTAACAATTTACTGGTCATGAATTTTATTTCAAAATAGAAAATTCCATTGACAATACAAATTTCATTACATGAAAATATTATAATGAACACGGAAAAAAAAGTGATGTAAAATCTACATGCGTAGGTGTAATTTTTATATCAAAAGTATAGTTAAAAAAAATGCAGTTAATTTTATTCTGGTTAAATGATGTTAAATCTACAATAGCATTTGCCGTAGAATTTACAATAATATTTTGCAGTATTTTTTACCACAGTTTTATGTTAGTTTGACATCAAATTTTTTACAAACATAACTATAGCATTTTACTAACCAGAAAAGATAATGAGTAATGTTTTGAATTATCATCAAATAATTGTAATTACGAGTCATTAAGAAAACTGAGGAAAACAGTTTACAACACTTTAACAATTTACTGGTCATGAATTTTATTTCAAAATAGAAAATTCCATTGACAATACAAATTTCATTACATGAAAATATTATAATGAATACCTAGTTGTAATCATCAATGAGCCATTTTTATTTATTAACAAACATTTTATTATATTTCCTAATGAAGAAATATTTACTAACTTGTTCTTAGTACAATTTTTGAAACTTTTCATTACTTTATACGCATGATAATGACTGTTAAACCCGAGTGTTGTATAATGATTGATACAGAAGTAAAATTTTCCATTAATTTGCAGAACGTTTACTATGATTCCAAATTCTGGTCCTTCCTGACTTAAGTCTACAACTATAATAGAATCTTTTTCAAATCTTTGACCCATAATTTCTATCCATTTTAGAGCTTTGACATTGGAATTAGTACCAAATACAGATTTTATATGATTATCAATGTTATAATTAGGTATAATTGGACCATTAATGTATTTTTGAATAATACAAGGATTATAATTTGTAAAACACATTTTTAATTGATGCCTTAAAGTCAAAGTTAATAATATATTTTTCATTGATCCGGATATATTTGCGGTAGATTTTAATTCATGATTTTTAGACTCAAATCTCATAGACCATAAATGCATTAGTGGTCCACATTTCAACATAATTGCAGGATAGTGAAGTTTTATATGAAATTTAAATTGTAGATGAGAAGCAAATTTTAAATACAAACTTAAAAAACTCTTCAATCAATGTTTTAAACAATACAACATGACTTCTCAACACTCTAGGTGATGTTATTATATCAACTATTTGTCTAATTTCAGATATAATTGCCAAACACAGTTATCCTCTTCTACAAATTCACCAACCATTAATCCAAAATAACGTACAAAAAAGAGCATTTCTGCAGCAGACATTTTAATTTGTATATGATCGGCTGATATAAATGGAGGCATATTTGAAAGTTCTAGTTTACCATAATTGAATGTATCGATTCTAGAATTTAGAGTGTCTAAAGAAAATCGATTCTCAACAAAAATTAAGTGATTTAAAACAATGACCATTGTATAATTTGCAGTGCCTTCCAACACATCGTGCATAATATCAACAGTCTGATTTATGCAAAACATGGAAATCATCTATTTCATTAAAAATACATTTTTCTTTAATACCTGTCAGTGAATAATTGTTTATTTTTAGACTCTTTTCATATTTTTCTGGACTACGCAAAATCCTTACATTTTCAGTAGTTTGATTATTCATTTCAAGATAAGGAATTTCGCATATTCTACAGCAATAGTTTGCACTGAAGCATTCTACAAAACCGAATATTGAATGCAATCCCAAGTTGTCACCAATAATAGCTCCACATTCAAAATATATCTTAATATTTTCATTTTTAATAGATATTGTTATACCATTTTTTTCAGATCATTTAATTCTTCAATTAATTTTGCAAATATTGCTCTATTGCCAAATTCTTTTCGGTCATTAGAATAGAATAAACAAACAAGAAAAATACTACTTAATCGTGAAGCATACTGCTTTGGAAGACATGGAATAGACATATATACAACACCTAATTTGTTGTTTCCTGCATGACTTCCTAAAGCATTACCGACCTCCAAATCATCGAAAAAAATAAAAAGTGGTAAAAAGAATTTAGTTCCATGATTTTTAGTCTTAGAACGCCAAAGATCACCTTGTATAAAATTAGATAAAATTTCTGGTTCATTTTTCAAATGCTCAACGTACTTTTTAGTTTTATCGTATAGTTCAGGTATACTAAAAATCGATTTTAATGTATTTTTAAAGGAATATATTGTCCAAACACATCCTTTGGTTCTGAAACAATAATTCCATTGCGTTTAGATTCTACAATTCTTGAACCAATTTTATATTGAATAGGTAATACAAGAAATCCTTTGTCATAAAAATATTTTAATCTTCTATGCTCAGTTGAAAATATTTCCAAAACAACTAATAGCAGAATTAAGTATACGTGGAATATCATTAATGACAACTTGTTCACATTTATTTATTAAATATATTGAATTTGTTTTATTATATATGGAACGTAAAGTTTTCTAATAAATTTTGTCAATTCTTCAACGATGAACTGAACACAGTTTCGTGGTATCATTGAGTTGTTATACAATGATAACCAGAATTTTACCCAAAATGTTTCTAAATTAATAGAAAAATCATCAATGTCATATTCATTTTGAAATATGTAAAAATGAATGTGATAAATTATAATTTATAGTCTTTTAACATTTAATTTTTATATCTATTTAAATCACTTATAAGACGATTGACACATGTAAATGATGAAGTTTTTTTTGTAACTTCATAATGTATTTTTCTAGAAATTCCCAAACGTGTTCACACTCTACTGAGTAAGTTGCATTCAATGCGTGTATGATTTTAAAACATGTGTCTATTGCTTTTAAGGGGGTAGGTAAAACATATCGCTGATCATTTATTACTACAAACGAACTTTCGATGTTATCTAATAGTCCAATGATGACTACAAAAGGCTGAAGAGTCAATTTATGCTGCTTGTAAATCCTAATTTTGCTTTCTATATATGGTTGTAGTTCATCAATAGTCTGTAGAAAAAAAAACAATAAAATTGAAACTGAAACTTGAATTGCAATGTTAAAAAAATTACAACAGAGATTGTAATATTTTTTAATTCAAAAATTCTGAAACACTTCGTTTTTGAAGGAGTTGAAATTCATAAAAATTTATTTACCTCTGCATGAAAAGAATGATTGCTTAATGTCAGTTATATTTGGTCTCCAATGTTTTCCTGATTTTTTAGATTTCTGTTTATTGTACCCAATAGTAATGGAAGTAATTCAAGGGCAATAATCTCAATATTACCAAGATCTTTATAGAAAATATAGTCATGAAATTACAATTAACGTTAATATTTAAGTCGTTAAGACAAATGAAGTTACCTGAATCGTTCGCCAATAATATATTATTAGTCTTGAGGTATTGCGATACTTGATAATCTTTTCGTTTCTTACTAATATTAATAATTTTTTTGCAACCGATGGCCATTTTAGAATTAATTTATCAACTGCCTCTTTATGAATTTGTTTAAAATCTGATTCAAACTGTAACAGAACATTTCATTTGCAAACCTTTTGTATTTAATACATGCATCAATATATTATAATACTTTTATTCAGAGGAATTAACTATGAAATTTACCAATAAATAAGCAGATGGTGTCTTCAATACATTGAATGTATTAAAATACATATCAATTCGTTCTGTATGATAAGCCAATCTTTCTTTAAAACTTTCTTGCCATTTTAAAAGCACTTCACTAACTGGTTCTATATGATTTTTAAGCCATAATATGAATCACTCAACGGTAAAATATCGTTTGTATTGTTATTTCATCTATAATTTAAAAAAATAATCAATAGAGATATTAGAATAGTAAAACAATTATTGAATGAATAAAATTAAAAAAAGCTAATTTCATCATTTTTAAAAAACAAAAATATTGAATAGTGTAAGTTATTCGAATTTAAAAAATATTTACGTTGATCTATATTAGAATCAGAAGTAAGGATTTCTAATTCAAATAAAGTTCTTCTCAGATTGATATATTTATCATACAGAAGTCCTCTAGCACCAATAGGACCATTTGTGCCTTTTGTCCAGGGTGTATAATATAAGTCTTCTTCTTCATCAGGAAAATAATTCTACTAGATCTTTTGTCAACTTTTTAAATCTCTCAGCTGTAATCCTAATTGAAAACAATTATAAAGAAAGTTAATTTTCAACTTCCCCAAAACATAATTTAAAATATTCCATCAATAGCTACGTACTTGAATTTTTTACTGTTTTCTAATTCTGATTCACTGATTACACTAGTGAGTAACCGTCGGTTTATTGTGTTCTTAAGATTAAATTCTGCTAGATAAGCCTTCCACGAAAACATTTTAATATAGGTTTAATTTCATTTTTGAGAGTTTCCTAAAATATTCATTGACACAGAAAAAAAGTAAATAAATACATTTGAAAGGAAGAACTGGAATCTTACTGGATGATGTTGAAGACAGAGGCATAATAGGAATTTTCGATGTTGGAAGATTTGAAGTTGGTTGCAGTTTTTTTTTGGAATTGGAGAGATTGTTTTTTCATTAGAAATAGAATTGAGATTTGAAATAAAAACTTCATTAAGGACCGCTGATAGTTGATTCAAGCAAAAGATTTGACTCTTCTAAACTATCATCATGATTTACATTCTTATTGTTTTTCAATTATATGAATACTTTCGTTATTAATAATAAACACGATTTATTATATTTCGACATAAAATTGTTATATTCTTTAGAATTTATATCTTAATCCAATTTGTGGAATGAGTTCAACAATAAGGGCATCAGTTAAATTAGTAAAAACTTCTTTATCAACTATATTGACTGTAAACGTAACAAAATTTGAGAATGAATATAAATTATATAGAGAATTGAGTTAACCTAAAAAATTTTTTGAGTGAACTATTATTCCTCTGAACACTAATTATTATAAATAAATCAATTTTTCATATTTAAATTTGAATAAAGAATACTATTGTTGAAATAGGTTTTTTTTACTTACTGTTGAAATGATCAATTAAATTTTCTAGATTCCACTTTTTTAAAGTTGTTTAACAAACTCATCCATTGTTACAAAACTTAACACACAATTTATACACAAATATCACTGTAATGTTGACAATGGAACAGACAATTTTGATTTAATAACAATCTCATTTATGATCCATCACCTTCTCGGTTTTTACACAAAGATAATATTACACTATATTTTTATAATGTATTTTCACGAACAATATACGTTGTCGATAGAAATCCACGCTTGAGCAGCGACTAAATAATACGAAAATTTTTATTTTGCCACTAACAATGTGATCTGTATCTCTTCTCAGAAAACTGAAGCTCAGGCGGCAAAGAATCACACAACAAAACAATGAGTGAGACTCGCAGTAGCGACGCGTGGTCTAGATATTCTAAAAATTACTCGAACAGTTGATCAACTCTATATTGCGATTTATTTATTCTAGCGTTACTCAAAAACAGTTACATAGATGGCGCTAGAATTATAAATTCCAAAAATTTAAATAATGATCGGTAAATTATCGATCATAAATCAATGAAAAAAATGTGTTGTTTTTTCGTAGTTTTAATTATAAATTCAATTATCAAAAATGAATCATTTTTTATTTATTCATAACTAATTAATTATCTTTTATCTCTATCGCAATTTTTAGTTCAATTAACAACAAATAATAAAGTAATCCGAACCTAATTATCACGTTAATTCTATTGCAGTTTGTTGTAAATCGTACCGCAGGCAAAAAAAAGTTTTTTTACTGCACTTTTTATGTGAAT